CCCCAAAACCCCAAAACCCCAAAACCCCAAAACCCCAAAGTTATAAAACAGAGTTGAAATAAATGATAGCATTGAGAATTAGAGCAAGCAATAACTGAGATATTGTTTAGAAAGGTATTTGAGCAACTGGCTCATCTTCTATGGACTCTATGAATTACTGACCTCTTCTTACCTTCATCTGAATCATATCCACTGTTTCAAGTGATGAAAACTTCATCAGAGCATTCTTCTAATGATTCATCTGGTATTGCAACCGGCATCAATTGACTAAGTTCTAGATAGTGGAAAGGTCTTGATTTCTCATATTTATGAAATTGACCTACACAATTAGTGGTGATCGATTACTATAAGAGCCTAGCTTAATGTGTAGTAGAGTGCAATGCATCTTTCTATCCTTTGCAGCATCAATCCCATCTCTATTTCTTGACGGATGTAAGTGAAGATTTTTCAGGGTTTTATTGATCTTCAGCATCTGAGGTTGCTCCTCCTTTTTCAGCATTCTTTGTCCAGATTTAAGCTCTTCTAGCCTATAAAGATTATGAAAAAGATGTACATATCTATCATAAGAGCATACTGAGGTTCCTCTTCATACTCAAGATTTATAATTTCATTATAAAATTTCTCAAGGCTGCTAAAATCTCCTCAAATTTCTTCAAATTTGGTGAATGCTTTAAGCTTGATAATGCTGTCTATATAGTCCTGAAGGCTGTTATATACGGTCTCTGAAGTTTCATCAATAGTGCTTCGCTCCTTACCCCAAAGCCTCTCCCCTCCTTTGAGTAGGTAAAGCATTGTGTACACAAGTGAGACCATATCGTGCTTCCTAGTTGGAGCTACTAATTACACATTACACTTACAAAACTTTTGGAGACATTCAAATGCTGCAAACTCAATATTTCCTCTGAATTTTGGCACAAACTCTTTATATTTATGCATCCCGTCATTGTCGAGATATTTCAAAGAGATGCCAAAGTCTATTAAGACAAAAAGAAGTTCATCTTCGGTAGAATCATTCAAAATATTAGCTGGCTTGATGTCTCCATGGACATACCCTAAGGAATGTATTTTCTGCAAAGATTTGATTCATTGCTGTCCCATTGTCATCACAAGGTCGAAATAGTCCTTATCAGAATAAACAGAGTTGAAGTTCTCTGAGAACTCACAGGTGTTATCAAACTTGAGTGTTTTTATAACTCATCTATATGAGTTCCATGAAGAGTCATGACCAAATAATCCTTGTCCTCTGATATTGACCCGTATTCAATCACTTGTGGGAAATCTATATTCGAAGGAAAACCCCTACTTCTATCGTCAGGGAAGTACTTATTTAGCTTTGATAATACTTCGAATTCCATCTTAAGATTCTGAGTCCTATCACTCTAAATTGGTGATATTAAATCAAGTCCATAGATTCGAATTAAATAAGATTTCTTACAATCTTCATAGCAGCTCGTAGATTTTGAGAAGGATTCTCTACCTCAAAAACTCCTTCAGCTATATCATAATTATATAAAATATATAAACAATACAAGGCAGATAGAAATGATCTTTTAGATTTTCTGCTTGCAAGAAAAAGTATCATTGAGCAGAATGTAAGAGAGAGCTTTTAGATGTCTTAGTCGTACAGTAACCTCCATCACCGATCTTCCTCACTATGTTCCAGTCGGGACAAACTTCCATTGTTGTATTTCTCCTAAATATATTATTTCAGCTAATTGAAATATCAAAGGGGTTTTGGGGTTTTGGGGTTTTGGGGTTTTGGGG